CTTGTTTTTATTAAAATTTTCCTTGCTTTTCTGCACTATGGTGACCTTAGGTTACCTCTTGACTTCTAATAGTATAAATAAGGAGAGTTAAAAATAAACGGGGCTGCAGTCTTGAGCTGCAGACCTCCCCACCCCATCCTTTGTCTAATGTCTTTATTTTTCCGTCCTCGCCCCCTAAATCAGGAGTCCCTTTCATTGCCGGCTGGTTCCGGCAGGAAAGGAAAGATTACAATAGTAAAAGAACATATATGGGTATCAGAAAATTTCTCAGTCATTGGTATTAAAATGTTATATTAGCAATGCTCTGAAATCAGTTGATTAATTAGAATTGAAATACATATAAAGGAAAGCAATTAGAACAGTAAGAATAATTTACAGCAACTAAACATGGAAAGTTAACATGGAAAGTGGTAGAGAAATAACTTGGAGTCCAGATGGAAATGTTTGGAAAATTTGTTGCACAATGACAGCAATATACTAAGTATTATTACCTGTGCCTTAACTAGTGGCTACTGGAAAATGTTATGTCTTATGGATGTTACTCTTTTTATATATCTTAATCTGTTATTTTTGATATTTTATTGTCTTAGTTTTTTATTTATTTTTATTTTCTCCCCCATGTTTTATATTGATTTTTTTGATGTTCCTAAGTAGGACTTGAACTTACCACCTGGGCATTGTCCCTAAGCTTTAGGGCTCAATTCTAATGCTTTTACTACTTGAGGCATTGTTCTACTTCCAGCTTTTGGGGGGTTAATTGGAGCTGAGAGTCTTACAGGCATTTCTTCTCAGGCTGGCTTTGAACCATAATCCTCATATCTCAGCCTCCTGACTACCTAGGATTCCAGGCAAGAGCCACCCATGCTTCGCTAGTTTTTATTGTGGTTTTTTTTTTAACAAAAAGCAAATTTCTTTACTGTACATAGCACATTGTACAGCTTGGCAGGATGCACACAGCCCTGTACAGAGGAAAGTATTCCAGATCAACTGGCAGGGTTAAAGCCTTTCCACTGGAGAGCTCAGCTACAGAAAGTTATTTCATACTTGGTAAAACAGAATAAAGTCCCAAATCAGGGGAAGTAAAGAAAAGAAACAAACACACAAAAAACAGCAAAACCAAACCATATCTACATAGCGTTTACAACAAATAAATCAAAGAAGTGGAGTGGCTTTTACAGTGAAGTTTTAGGTAAGTCATGTTTCATTTTTGTTATAGTAAGATCTTAACTTTTGTAAAAGTTGAGAGAGGTACTATGAGATGCATGTGAAATAAGAGAAATTTGTCTTTTTTGTTGTTGTTGTTTGTCATGGGACTTCAAATCTGGGCCTGGGCACTACCCCTGAGCTCTTCAGCACAAGGTGAGTGTTATTGAGCCACAGCATCACTTCTGGTTTTCTGGTAGTTTATTAGAGATAAAAGTCTCATTTATTTTCCTTCCTGGGCTGGCTTTGAATCACGATACTCAGAACTCAGCCTCCTGAATAGCTAGGATTTCAGCCGTGAGCCACCTGCATCCTGCAAGAAATTTGTCTTTCATAGATGAAACAGTTAAATGAGATATAAAATTGTCTACCAGATTCCTGACTACAGAAAGTCTTACAGAAAGTCAGAAAGAAGACAACGGACAGTTACCTATCCTATAGGATACTCTAGGAGGTCATCCAGTATGAAAACTTCATCCACAATGAAAAATTGATCATTTGTATTTGTTATCAAGCTAACTAATGGATGGGTGGATGGATGGATGGATGGGTGGGTGGATGGATGGATGGATGGATGGATGGGTGGGTGGATGGATGGATGGATGGATGGGTGGGTGGATGGATGGATGGATGGATGGGTGGATGGGTGGGTGGATGGATGGGTGGATGGATGGATAGATGGATGGATGAGTGGATGGGTGGATGGGTGGGTGGACAGACCAACAGATGGACAGATGGACAGACAGATGCCGCCCCCACCCTTCCCCTGGCCGCACCTGTAGTGGAGGCTGAGGTTGACACGGCCGCCCTGGTCCCAGGTCACCAGCACCGTGTGGAGGTCGAGGCACAGCAGACGCAGGCCTGGTGCGGGTTTGAGGCCCCAGGGAGTTGGGGAGGGGGGGAGAATGAGAGGCAGGCGTGCGGCCTCTGACCCCCCTCCCCAGCCTCCGACCCCCCGGGCCTTCCCCAGTCCTCCCTGGCCCAGCCCCAGGCGTTGGGAGTTCCGGAAGTTTCCTGAAGGTTCCAGGAGGTTCCGGGAGGGGATTTTGGGGGAGGCCGGGGTGACGCAGGTCCTCCGCCATTATCAGATCTCAGCCCACGCCGCCCGCCAGCACTCGGGAGAGAAAAGGGGAAGTAGAGGCCTGGGCGGGGGATGATGTTTACTGTAGATAGAGGAAGAGGAGGGGGAGGAAGGTTCTGGAAAGGATGGGGGGAGGGAGAAGGGAGGGCTGAGGCATCTGAAGGGAGGAGAAAGATTGGGGGGCATAGGAGAGGGGCATGAGACGGACGGACAGACTGATGGGCAGATGCCCACCAGCACTGGGAATGCCTTGGAGAGAGACACAGATGGACAGACAGACACCAGGGAGACAGACAGACAGACACCAGGGAAACAGACAGGGAGACAGACAGACAGACAGACACCAGGGAGATAGACAAACAGACACCAGGGAGCTGGACAGACAGACACCAGGGAGTGAGATAGACAGACACCAGGGAGACAGACAGATATCAGAGTGACAGACAGACAGACAGACACCAGTGAGACAGACAGACACCAGGGAGACAGACACACAGACAGACAGACAGACAGACACGAGGGAGATAGACAGACACCAGGGAGATGGACAGACAGACAGACACAGACACACAGACAGACACCCTGGGCCTCCCTCCTCACCTCTGTCTTCCTCCCCGGCTGACCCGAGCACTGTTGGGAGGAGCATCAGGGTGGAGGCCAGAGCTGCCCAGGGCCCCGGCCACCGGCCCCGGAGGCTCGTGGACGGACGGATGGGTGGGTGGGTGGGTGGGTGGGTGGGTGGGTGGATGGGTGGGTGGGTGGATGGGTGGGTGGATGGATGGGTGGGTGGATGGGTGGGTGGATGGGTGGGTGGATGGGTGGATGGATGGGTGGATGGGTGGATGGATGGGTGGATGGATGGATGGAATGATGGATGGGTAGGTGGATAGGTGGGTGGATGGGTAGATGGATGGATGGATGAGTGGATGGATGGATGGATGGGTGGATGGATGGATGGATGGATGGATGGATGGGTGGGTGGGTGGATGGATGGATGGATGGATGGATGGATGGATGGATGGGGGGACGGGGGGACGGGGGGGACGGGGCTGGCGGGTCGGGGCCCAGGCTGCCATCTGTCCGTCTGTTCGTTCATCTGTGTGTCTGGCTGTCCTCCAGGGGAAGAGGAAGCACGGGAGGGGAGGGAAAACACAGATGCAGGAAACCGAGTCGGCGATGCTGGGCGGCCGATACGGAGGAGGCCGCGGGGGGGGGGGGGGGGGGGGGGAAGGGCCCCACCATGTGACAGCCCGGACGGACAGACGCAAAGAGACATACAGAGACAGACAGACAGACAGACAGAGACAGACAGACAGACACAGAGATCAAGACAGACAGAGGGACAGATGGATGGACAGACAGACAGATACAGAGAGACAGACACAGACAGACAGAGACAGACAGATGGACAGATAAATGGACAGAGAGAAAGACAAACGGATGGACAGAGAGACAGACAGAGAGTTGGACAGATAAACAGAAAGACAGACAGATGGATGGACAGACACAGAGACAGACGGACAGACAGAGACATAGACACATGGACTGACAGACAGACACAGAGAGACAGACAGATGGACAGATAAATGGACAGACAGACGGATGGATGGACAGACAGGTACAGAGAGACAGACAAAAGAGAGACAGACGGAGGGACAGACAGACACAGGGAGAGACAGATGGACAGATAAATGGACAGACAGACAGGGAGAAAGACAGACAGATGGATGGACAGACACAGAGACAGACAGAGGGACAGATGGATGGACAGACAGATACCGAGAGACAGAAACATACAGACAGATTCAGAGACCAAGACAGACAGACAGACAAATGGACAGATAAATGGACAGACAGGGAGAAATACAGACAGAGACAGAGAGACAGACAGACAGATGGACTGACAGACAGACACAGAGACAGATGGATGGACAGACAGAGACAGACAGACAGACACAGAGACAGACGCAGAGACAGACAGAGACAAACAGAGGGAACAAGGAGAGACCAATGGACAGATGGACAGATAAATGGACAGACAGACAGGGAGAAAGACAGACAGACGGATGGACATAGAGACAGATAGAGGGACAGATGGACAGACGGACAGACAGAGACAGACGGATAAACAGACGGACAGAAAGGGAGAAAGACGGATGGACAGACAGAGGGACACAGAGACAGACACACAGAGGGACAGACAGACAGACAGGTGGACGGACAGACACAGACAGACAGACATGGAGAAAGAGAGACAGACAGACAGACGGACAGAGGGACAGATAAATGGACAGACAGACAGGGAGAAAGACAGACGGATGGACAGAGAGGCAGACAGACAGAGGGACAGATGGATGGACGGACAGACAGACAGACAGATAAACAGACGGACAGACAGGGAGAAAGATGGACGGACAGACAGAGGGACAGACAGACACGGAGACAGACACACAGAGGGACAGACAGACAGACAGACAGACAGGTGGACGGACAGACACAGACAGACATGAAGAAAGAGACGGACAGACAGATGGACGGAGACAGTCAGATAAATGGACAGACAGACAGGGAGAAGGACAGACAGACGGATGGACAGAGAGACAGACAGATAGACGGACAGGTGGACGGACAGACACAGACAGACAGACGGGCATGGAGAAAGAGAGACGGACAGACAGACAGACAGAGGGACAGAGGCAGAGACAGACAGACACAC